ATTAAACACTGTCTGTTTACTTTTACATATCAAATTTGTCACGTAGCGCACACAAGGGGTGGGTTTTGGGGCTAAATTTAACTTAAGCGGGTTTCACTGTATTTGCTTTTTCACTTATATGAGGTGGTATACCTACTTGTAAGTGTGCAACGGCTGCACTTGACCCAATAAATCGCTGCAGTTGTAGTTCCGAGTGGACTGCACCAGCCGAACGTGAACGGACACACAGATTTCTTAGCACGCAAAACTTACTTGCAGCTATAAAACGCTAGTTTTCTAATAAAATTTGTAAACAACTCCGATACTCTGCAAAGATGTGTAAATTATTGTTTTATTTCAAAATATTTAATTTTTTGGCATACTTACTTGAATTCGCGCAATAAGATAATTAATTTTTTATCTCGAATTCAGAAAGAATGGAAAATTCTACCTTCAGATAATATATTTTATGTGGGGTTCATTTACGGTTGCCAGATGAACTGATTTGGGAAGGACAGTACGGAATTTTCACTCGCTGTACTGAAAGCTTCAGTTTTTTCCATGAATTTTACATATTTAAAAAAATATTTAACTCAAAAGGAAAATGGGCAGGGTGGGGGTAACGTTCAGAAATAGTACAAGAAGTGGACGTACTTACGGTGACATTCAGCCCTGGCATTGAAAAGCGCAAAAAAACACAACGAGTAGCTAAAAAGACGACAGTTCACGAAACGGTCAGTCGACACGCGCACTGAAAATAAAATCTGCGTAAATATAACGAAAACTTGCGTAAATCTTACGAAATTTTTCGTAATTTTGAGCCACGAAAGTTTTCGTTGATTGTACAAAAGCGTTTTCGTACATGCTACGAAAATATTAGGCATCAGATCTTTAGTACATTTTACGAGTGTATTCGTACTATTTACTAAAGGATTTAGTACTATTTACTAAAGAATTACGTGCAATTTCTTAGTTTTTTACGAAATTTTTGTAAAATGCCCAGAAATAATTCGTATATTTAACGAAATTACTTTCGTAAAATCTGCGCTTGTTTCGTAGAATGTGCGATTTTGCTTTCATTCTCTACACAGTAAAAAACATAGTACGAATTATAACACAACACTTTTATTTTGTTTTTATCGTTAATTTTAAGCGTTTTTGTTTAACAAAACGTTTTGCAAAAACGCTAAACATTAATGATTAAAATATAATGAAAGTGCTGTGCTATAATTTTAGTCATGTTTTTTATAGTGTTAATAATAAAAGCAATCATACGTT